AAAAAAAAACGAAGAACACTTGCATAATTTCGGCAAATAAAATGGAAAATAAACAGCCTCTTTGAATGTATCACACGCAAAAAAAATTCTCAAAAGGACGCCACTAAAATAATTTGAAAACATTCTCACTGAGATCCAAAAAAATGTTTATGGTTTCCATTGACCCACACAAAAAAAAAAGGATAAAGAGAGAGATAAATATCGAATCACGCCTAAAACTCTGGTTTTGCACTCACTCATCATACATTTTGACACACACACAAAGTTTGAAGCCAAGTGTGAAGTATGCAGAAAATCCTTCAGGAGAAGTTCCCCCCCCCCAAAAAAAAACACACAGGGAAAATTTAAAGCCATTTTTAAAATGTTGACAAATTACAAGAAAAGTCAATCCCAAGTCCCATTCTGCTGAGTTTGGACCCATCAATTTCAGATAATAATTGAAAAATGTTCCTTGTCAGAGTGGGTTTGTTGGGCATGCATGCCAGGTATAGTAATGTACTCAATTCCTAGAAGTAAAAAGTATCCCCCCCCCTCCTCAGCAACCTCAATCATATCTTTCCCTGTTCTGATTGTAACAGTAAAGCCTATTGAAGGTTAATTATTATTGGTAGTATATAAGCTGCTCCCTTTTATCAAATCATCATCAGTTATCAGAATCAGTTTATCAATTGTGTCACTCAAATTATTCAGCAAGTTGAGTTTGAGACTGAGTTGTTTATTCACTTATTCCTTGAAATATACTTTACCCTTTAAACTAGGAATTCCTAAATGGAATCCTGGTCCTGTCCCAGACTGAGCAACGTGTTTCATTATTACTTTAAACTAGGAATTCCTAAATGGAATCTTGGTCCTGTCCCAGACTGAGTAACATGTTTCATTATTACTTTAAACTAGGAATTCCTAAATGGAATCCTGGTCCTGTCCCAGACTGAGTAACGTGTTTCATTATTACTTTAAACTAGGAAATCCTAAATGGAATCCTGGTCCTGTCCCAGACTGAGAAAGGTGTTTTATTATTACTTTAAACTAGGAATTCCTAAACGGAATCCTGGTCCTGTCCCAGACTGAGTAACGTGTTTTATTATAGTTTAATCAGCACTTGACACTAAATTATATTGAGGCACATTTGTCCCCAATAGTGTTGAACTTGGAAAAAAATTTCAGAGAAATAGACCCTTCCAATTTTGGAAATTTACCCATTTTCTAAAATACCATGCAATTCTGTTCCACAGAAAAAATGCAACAACAGAAATACTTTGACCCAAAAGGAATTAATATAATCCCCAGAAATGAGCCAGGACTTCATTTTGAATGTTCAAGATTTAGTATGATTTTTGAGCATCATACTTTTTTATATACTTTATTTGCAACCCTTTGAATATTGCATAAAATGCAGAGGTGACCAATGAAAATTTGTTCAATTTTTATACAAAACATTCTTAAAGTTCAAATTTTCAGGGAGACAATGATCTTTTTGCAAAATGTTTTCTAAGCAGTTCCCTGAATGAGCTTTCTTGTTTTTTACTTGTTACCTACTCTCTAGTCCTTCTTCATACTCACATACTCGATATCTGCATTTGGATTTGTGCACAAATTCTTTTTACTGACTTGTGTAGTGTTTTTTTGTCAACTGTGTCATTTCTTTGTCACCAAATCACACAATAAATGCTCATTTGAAAGACTGGGGACATATATTCACTGTGCCTCCTTGAATATAAGTTCTGGGCTGCAAACCAGCTGACTGCATATTGTTTTACTTGATACTCTCTTTACACTCCTTCTACATCTTCACATATTTCATATCTATGTTTAGATTTGGAGTTGTGCACAAATTCCTTTTCCTCAATTGTG